CTTGGGTGTTAGCTATGCTGTTCAACATGATCGGGCCAGGCCAAGAGCCATGAGTAATATTTGTTCAACACACGGGCCGCAGCAACAACGGCAGCAGCAGCAGCAGCAACGCCCTTTTTTGTCGGCCCGCCCCGCCCATTTTGGCCAAGTTAACTTAACCCAAAGCGAACCAAAGTCGAAACCAAAACCAAAACCAAAGCCAAATCCAAAAACCGAAACAGAAACTGAAAACGAACCGGGCCAAGAGATATAACGAAGTTGAGCGGCGAATGAGACCCATTAGCAAAGTCAAGCGCCGCCAAAGTCGCCGCATAACTTTAAATTTTACTTGTGGTGATTTTGAATACCCTATCAAAGGGTTTTGTAGTAAAGGTAGTGACTTAATCCGAAACATTAAAAAATACTTTAAGGTATTCTGTTTCACCCTCTTTTTAAGGGACATAATAAAATAGTTTACAAAAAACATTTATGTTTGTATTTAATGACTAATCTTTCATTATATTATTATCTCGATCATTCATGCAATATTCATAATTGCATGAATGATCGAGATTATTAATATAATTATTTTTTTACTAGTAGTCCTACAAAATTCAGACAATCAAAAATAATATTAACAAATATATATAAAGTCCGAATTTAATCAAAAACCCATAGAGCACACTGATCCTTCAGGGTATTCCAAGTTCTCCAAAACCAAAACTTAATTTTCCTATGAAGTTTTCATTTTTTTTTAAGTTATAGGTAACAAAGGGCAGGAAGCGCGGGGAAAGGGGGGCGCCTCAGTTGGGGGAACTAATTGGGGAGTGAGCTGACACACATATTCACACGTACATATCAAGTGGGTTTGTTCAAGGGAAATCGATTTAGTTGCTGGAGAAAACCCGGTCGCAGAGATATTATTATTGTATTTCAGCAGTCACATTTCAGAGTTTAACTTCAGCAATATAAATAAATAATTTTTAGGGGCCGAATTTTCAGGTTTCATATAAGTGAATCGATCAATCTGAAATGCATAAATCTTTTCTGAAAATAAATCCCCATTATCTTAAGTTATTTAATCGCTTTCAAGGTTACTAGGTGTTAGAGATGATACATGGAGTTTCGACTTTACTTTCGATATTATATATATATTATTATTTAATTTTCGATTAAATAGTCAAGTTCTTTTAATAGTCAAAACTATCGATTGGATGTTAAAAAATAATGTACATTATATGAATAAAAAATAAAAACCCCACAATTTCTAAGCGTTGAAGATCCTACTTCCCTCGATTAGGGTATTGATAAACCTCTAATGAGATTTTAGTGTCGCAGAGCCCGCACTTTTTTTTTCGGTGGTGGAGTGTTGGTGGGGTGATGGGGGGTGTAGGGGGGTCTCCAAGCGCAGCTGCTGCTGCTGCCATTGTTGTTGCTGTGGCATTTTTCAAATTCGCGCATTTGTCTGCGCTTTGCATAATTTTCGTCTTATTTATTTTGCGGTTTTTTCATTTTGTTTATTTTCTTTGCCGCTTGTCTCCTTCTTATTTTGGGTCATATTTTTTCGTGGTGCGCAGCAAATTTGCGCCGAGTGCCTCCAAGTGGCCAAAGAAAAGAAAAGCGAAACAACGGCGGGCACAGTCAATAGGAAAACAAAACCGCAGAACAATAAATGAGACTCGTCGAGTGATACGAAAATACCAGCCAGCAGAAACAATAAAGTTCAGAGTTCGGCCTCCAAATGAGGCTTAAATGGTCAACCAAATAATGGTGGGAAACGAAGGCGGGGGCCTGTTGCATATGGCCATTTTGCAGTTCAAATTATTGCTCTTTTCTAATTCGATTCCTGATTGAGTGGGGCTATTTCTGTAGATTATAACTATCAATGTGGATTAATCACAAATTAAAGACGAAATGTATTAAATTAATGCGGTAGTATTCGTAATAACATGTTTAATTTGTGCATTTATTTACTCATTAATGTTGGTTTCAGCATTAAAAGAAATGAAAACCACAAAATAAACTAGAAGTTGACAAAGGTTGTCAAATTACATACTATATGCACACCTAGCAAACCAAATAACACACAAAATATAAAGAACAATAATGTGCCACAATTATGAACAAAATGGAACAACCATTAGCATAAATTTTGGTCAAGGGTTTAAACATGACACAATTAAATCAAGTATCATCAAATACACTTAGTTCAACTATATTATTTTAATGCTTAGCTTAAATTTGACTCTATTTTACCCTGAATTATGCCTCGTTAAACGAAATATGATATGTGAGACCCCAATTTAAACTCACATTAGTCACAATTTTGAAATTGGTTCATTGACTTTGATGCTGTTCTAATTAACGTTGAAAATAACGCTTTGTTTCAGCTTTTTATACAGAACCAATATATCTGGTGTTGGGGACGAAATTACACTTAGTTTTATGTTTCTGGAATTTAAATTTAAATTTGAGAAATACATATAACCAAAAACCAAAAAATTAATTTTATTAAATAATTTTCTTAATATAACTTACAAAATGGAACACAATTTAGTACTATTTATTGATCTACTGCAGTAAACTTAAACACATTAAGCAAAATGTTATATTTTATTTACCATAATGCAAAAAAAAAATATTATTTATGCAAATTTAAGCTAAGATATACTATAATCTATCCAATAAGAACAGAAAGTTTACGTACATTCATAAATACCTACATACATTATTATTTAACACCCTTCTGAAAAAGAAAAATATCTTGGAATAGTATTTATTATTATTTAACACCTTTTCGAACTGCAAACCTGTTGATCTCCTCTCTCTTTCGCTTTTTGCCGCATCCGCTGATTGCTTCCCACCCATGTACCATTTTTGGGGTGACTCGAGCAGAAGTCAATTCACCTACAAAAGTTCGCGGACCCGCAACATTTGACCCCTTGTTGCCGTCTCCCTCGGCTGCTCCCCCCACCACTGCTCTCTCCATCCCTTTCCCGCTTGCACCTTTTCGTGTAACAGTAATCCAGTTGCAGGCTTTTGAGCTTTTGTTGCAACACGCTTTTGTGGCACGTTCGTTGCCTGAGTCTTTTGTTTGCCACGCAGATTTATGTCATTCCTTTTGGTTTTCGTTTTGCATGGCAGTGAGGGGGGTGGGGGTGGTGTTTAGGGGGGTTACCAGCGACTCCAACTGACCGAACTCTTCGATTACAATTACCGTGCAGCCTTGCTAAGTTCCACTTACTTTTTGAGGCTATCAGCTAATATATCTTAAAATTTACAAAAATTATTTTATCAGATTACTTATTAGTTTCAGATTATGATTAAAGTATTTAAATTTAGTTTGAATATGATTTCTTATAGAAACTATTGATTGTATTGATAAGATTAAAATTGTTTTATTATAGTTCATGATAAAAACAATAAGTTAAAAAAGAATATTCAATTAATAAATTTGTTTTGTGTTATTCTTGTCTAATGAAGTTGTAAAGCTTTTTATATTCTTGGCTTTAAATCCTGAAAAATAAATAAATTATTAAAATTTATGTTTTATATGCTATGTTTGCCTTATTTTCAATATTCAATGTTCAATGTTCGACTTATTGAGGTTCACCTGTATTTCTTCGGTTGTTGCCTTGCGCCTTTTGCTATTTTTTCTTGGCTTGCATTTCGCTGCTGTTTCTGCTTCTGTTGTTGTTGCTAGAGATATTGTTGTTGTTGCTTTAGTTGTATTTCTTTGTTTTTTGTTGTTGTTTTTATTGTTGTGCATTCCTTGGGCGAACGAACCTCAACCGGTTCCGTTTGCCATTTTAGTTACATTTGGCCGACAGAAGAGGAAGAGAAGTGGCGAAAATTGTTGTCAGGTTGGTTTGCTCTTTTGCAAAATGCGAAGAGATAGCCAGAGCGAGATGGCGCCTTGAAGGGGTGAGTGTGACAGAGACGGCCGAAGAACTCTTCTCCTTTTTTCCCACTTTAATTTTGCTTTGCTTTGCTGGCGATTTGCAGTGCTCTCCTGCATCCTGTTGAACCGGTTCACCACCGTCCACTCCTGACAACAAAAAAAAATAAAGCCACAAAACTGACACAAGTCAGAATTCTGTGGCCGCATTTTCCGACTTTGGTTTACCCAGTAATGGGATTTAGATTATATTATTATTCAAATGGGGGAAGTAGTTTATTATTAACGTAATATATACAAAAATTCCTTAAGGCTGTCCTCTTAATTGTAAAAAGTATATGTTTTTATTGATAAAGTTCTTAAATAAATATTTAACAAAACTATAATTTATTTGTATTTCTAATATGTATTTCTTATTTAAATTTAACATAAAATATCAATGCTTTTATACTTATTAACGGATATTCATAACGCTTTTAATGTTTGTACTTAAAAAAAATAACAATTTAATGCTTTGAGATAAGAAAGGAATTGTGATTAAAAAAAATCGTATAGGATTTCCTTATCAAATCAATAATAGAAAAAAATTTAAGAATTACTAAAATTGAAATTAATAAAAATAATCATACAGAAATGTAAAAATGGAAATTATTTTCAAAATGAATATCCCTTGTGTTGTTTTTAACTGCATATGCCCCGGCTCCTTGAATTCGTGAGGTAAAACAAATGCATAAAAAAAATGCCGCAGCAGCTTGTTTTTCGTGTTTTCCGTTCGGTTTATTCAGTTTATTTCGGTTTATTCGGATTTTCCCTTGAGACTTCAATTTGCTAGAGGCCAACACACGGTCCACACTTGCAACTCGAACCTCGAGCCTGTTAGTTTCGCAAGCGGAGCACTGAGCCGCTGTCGAACTTCTGCTGCATTCCGTGTTTGAAGCGAGCCGGCCCGCTGTTAATAACATGGCACACACACACCCGGCACCGATGACAACTAACAGTGCCCAACGGCACGTTGGTCACACAGGTTTGAATCGAACGCGGACGTCGAACCGGCCGAATGTTCGACGGCAAAAGTGGAAAAGTGGAGTTGCTATATTGTTAAGCGCTTCGCTCGCGATTCAAATCGAATTTGGACTTCGCAGTGGACGTTTCGAGAGGCGTTCGGCGGCAAAGGAAATAAATTGAACGGGGAAGGAAATCCATTTCGGAACTCGGCTTTTCGGCCTTTCGGCGCGCGCGTGTGTGTGTGTTATGTTATTGTTGCTGCTGCTGTGCGTCGGTGTTTGTGTGTGTGAGCGAGGCGAGGGAGAAATTGTTAAATAAACCGGTTCCTTTTTTTCGCGTCTGCAATTGCCTTTTCGTAATTCGTAATTCGTAATACCCAAAATCGAAATCGAGCATTGAATTTGTTTCGCCTGCGCTTTTTTTATTTTCTTTTCGGTTTGGGTCCTGGTTTTTCGGTGCGAAAATTGAATAACAACAACAGAATACAACAAAAAAGGCATAAACATAAGTTGCAAAATTGTACCAATTTTTTTTACTGTGCCCAAAACGAATGCAAAAATTCCAACGAATCAGTGAGTGAGCAAAATCAAGGAGATAGAGCTGAGAATTTAAAGCCAGTGCCAAAAAGTGAAAGAAGAGTACGAGAAATACGAGAAACAAAACAAAAGTGGCAAATTTACAAAAAAAAAAAATTAGCCAGCAAACAAAAAAAAAAGGAAGAAAGGTGAGCAAAAGAAGAGGACAAAAAGTATACGGTAAAAATCCTCTTGTTGTTGTTGCTGCTACTGCTGCACCATTCACTTGCATTTTGCGCGAGCGAGAAAGAGAAAAAAGAAAAGTAGATAAAAATTCTCTTTTCTTTTGAGAGGATCAGATCCTCCTCTCTCCTCACTCTCTTTCTTTGCCTTGCTCTTTATAATGCATTTCCCATTACAATATTGATCCCTGTTTTGTGGTTTTCTTTCTAACAAAACCCTACATATTTTGCAATTGTATGTCTCTTTCGCACTACTTCTCTGCACCATGGAATATTATTGGGTTTTACAGTTCAACTTCAATGTCGGGTTATCGAACTAAACTAAACAAAATGTATCTAAAGAAAACAGGATTTTTTAACGTTTAAAAAGTTATTAGCGCAACAAAATTATTTCAGAACTTGTATAACTGAAAATTTAAGACTGGGTTAAATACATTTTAAGCTTTGCAATTCTCAAGTTTAAAGATTAATTTAAATATTTAGTTAGAACAAGTTGCACAAAAATGCTATATTTCAATTTCAACATACTTTTTCTTAAAGCAATTTCGGCTTATAATTATCTATATATTTGTATAATTGTTTAATATTTAATTAAGAAAATTCTATAATATGGTTATCACTTTTAAATTTACCATTGTGGTTATGTTAAAATTTCGACAAGCTATTGTTGATTTCTAACTTTTGAAAACAAAAATATGAATGTCTTATCTTAAAGGCTTAGATACTTTTGATTGAGATTTCTTAAAGTAAACGTATCTATTTAAAATTCCACCTAAAAAATAATATTTAACCAGAGTTTTAATTCAAAATTAGTGCAGATACGCGAATTTATTTAGAATTTCAGTTGTTAAACGCCCTTTTCACTCCCATAAAATTCGATTTAGTCAACTTGGACCGTAGTTTTTAGTTTCTAGCGCACCAAGTGCATGACATTTTAATGGCCTGTGGCAAGGGGGAAAAGTGGGACGGGACCAGGGAAGCCTGACATTGTTAAGTGCCTCGCAATGTGTTGCATAAGAGGGGGCGGTAAGGGCAGTGGCTAAGGGGCAGAGGAGCGGAGGGGGCGTTTGGGGCTAATGAGCTGCAGCCAATTCGAATGCCAATTAAGTGGAATCTAAATAAAAATTTCAATTTTTGCGGTCTATTTTAGCTGCAGATCAATAAGCCCCAAGGGAAGTTGAGTATAAAATTCCACGTGACAGGGAAATAGAGTGAACAAACACCATTAAATATTAATAGCAACGAGAAAATGCATTTGAAATTGCAATGGCTAACATAAATGGTAAAATTGTCTAAGGTTTGAAAATTAGATGGTTAAAAGCCTAATTTGAAGGCCTTCTCAATAAAAAAGAAAAGTTTATTTAAAATCAGTAACATTTGATTTAGTATCTTAGTTGCTTAAAAAGCTTTTTTTTGCTTTGATAGAAAAACATATTTTGATGCGTTTCTTAATGAAATGGAAAAAAGTACACACCTTAAATTGTGTTGTATTTTACAAGAAGTTTAAATAAAACTCAAGATATAAACATTTTTACACGACATATTTTAGTTGCTCGAATAAATCAGGCAAGCCACAAAAAGTTAGTTAACATCGCCATTTACTGTAATAAGAAATTAAAAAAGGTCCAAGAGTTATGTGAACCTAGCCGAGCTATAAAAACAAAAGGGGGAATCAGAAACGGAATAAACACGGTATAGAAGAAACAAAATATAAAAACGAGCCAAATGAAGTTGAATGGTAAATGTCGCTGAGAACAATGTCTGCGCCAGAGGAAATCGAAGACGAGTCGGCAACAAAGATATAGGACAAATATGACAGATAGGCGTACTTAAAGACTAGAGATTGAAGATCTATTCGCATGAATTTGAGCCATGTTTCAGCGTATTTTTCAGTTATTAATTATGTTAGAATTTTCTTCATTGGATGCCCAAGTTAAAGTCTCGCTTTCCTCTTTCGCTCTCTCCCTTTCCCCTTTTAATAGCCGCGGGTCTGAGCAGAGTTTCATTCTTCTTGTTTATTATTATTTTAATTTTTTTTCTTTACGATTTCGTACTGTTTTTCTTTTTTTTGTTGTTTGTTTGTTTACTGTGGTGTCTTCCGTTTAAGGTTATATTTATTCAACTTTTATTGCAGTCGCCGCGTGCGACAAATGAAAATAAACGGAAAATACAGATGAAAACGTTATGAAAAGTAAAATAAATTGAAATAAGAAAGGTTGCTCTCTTGGTTTTTACTTTTGACCAAGTTTGAAGTTGATTTGATTACATTTAAGCAAAAGAGAAAATAATAAAATCTCTGCCACCACATGTAAGAGATATTGTATAACTATGGTTTTAATTTCTTTTTTGATATGTAGTCAACGAAGTGTTAGTCATTTGTCTTTATTTTCTTTTCTTGACTGTATATAAATAATATATTACTACATTTTAACCTTTACTGTTGTTGCTCACATTATATTGCATGAATTGTATTTGCCACATTTTTAAGTTCGCTTTGGTCTAAGCCTTGTGAAATGATAGATTATCTGCCTGCCCTTAGAATATTTTTCTTTATTTTTCTGCAGTCAAAGAAAGACTTACAATTTATGCACAGTAAACTAAATAAGAACTTGTTCTTTTGATTTGGTTTCTTTTCACTTTTTGTAGTTCCCTGGTAGTTGCCATTTTAATTGAGCAATGAAAGAATAAACTCTTTGAAGATATTAAATTTCCAAATGATTTTTCAATCTGTGAAGAGAGATAGCAAATGGGGTTTGAAAGAGGAGGTAGTGGGGGAAAGGGGTAGGCGGCCGCCCATGGTAACTTGACTTTGATTGCTTTGGGCTGATAAACGATTGAACAAAAAAAAAATTCTGACTAAACGGACGTACTCCACCCCGCCTTTGGCATTTTTCCCCTTTGACAGTCGACAAATTGTTTTGTCTGTGTGGCAAACTTTTCTCTGCTCGCTTCGCTAGAGAAAGGCGGAGGAAAACAAAAAAAAAACAGTTTTGTCATGCTCGTGCTCATATGACAATTGTCTCTCCATTTCCATTCTCATACATATTTTTTTTTCGCTCATTCACGGTCAACCACTTGACCTGGCCAACAATTTCCACTCCTTTGGCCACAAAGGAGCGGGGGCCACGTTGATGACTTCATGTCAGCAAGTTTGCAACGTTTTGGATCTCTGAATTGCTGGGGGAAAAAGCAAATGTCAGACGAAATTATCTTTCGAAGAAATAATTTTTAATTTTGATATGTCTCCCGACCCCGTGACAAGCTGAGAATCGGACAGAGAAGTTATCCTCCCTTGACTGCGTGTGAGTACTTGTAGTTTCCACAAAACTCTCAGCTGTTTGTATGGGAAAATGTACGATGTATATCCGATTGTATAAACTGGAAATACATTAAATTTAGAGACATTAAATTAAGAAATAAATAAAAGATTACACCATCTTTGGTTGGGTTTCAATTTAAGAATTTTTAACATCAATAAGTAATCAACACTTTCTCTAAAAATATATTTTTGTAAGTAAACCATTATAAATTAAAAAGTAAAATATGCTTCAACCCAATTTTTGTTTGTGGCGAATTATCAGGCCCACAGAAATAAAGAGTTTCAATTAAACTGAAAATATCCGAGTCAGTCTGAAAAATAAAATCAATTAAATTTACATCAAGCTGTAGAAAGAAACTTTGCTCAAATCAAGTCAATGGAATGGAATCAAATCAAAGTTCTTTCATCTTCCTTTATTTGCTTCGCCACCAAAACTCCTCATCTCTTTTTGGGCAACACACTTTACATGCCATCTTGTTTCCATATTAAACGTTTTTCCTAAAGAGATTTTAATTTTATGACGCTCGAATTAAAATGCAAAAAATCAAATCAAAACTCAAATCGAATAGCCCAAATGGTAAATGTTAATGAGAAGGGAGCTGCTTGGTCGCTGCGTGATGTTCCGCCCGACTTAATGTCATTCCATGTGATATCTCAGCAAAAAACAAAAAATCAAGAATGAAATAAAAACCGAAACAGCAGCAAAAAAAAAGACAAAGTACAAAAAAAAAAGTAAAAGAACTTGGCCCTGACCAAAGAGACACGAGAGAAATTTGGTAAATCAGAGCGTTTAATCATTTAAAAAGCATCTTTGTAAGCGAATCCCCATACTACTTCCTTAGGAATAAAGAAGGAACATTTTTAACGTTTTCTGGTTTTTATACTCTTAAAGAGGGGATAGTAATATTTTGAAAGTGTATGCAATTCCGTGAACAAGTGATCTACGAACTCATTAAAACTTAAATATAGATTAACGCTATAAAAACTATTTATTGTGTGTAGGTTCGATAATGTTGTAATTAAAATGTGGTTGATTGGAGTTAATTTCTGGTTTTCAAAAAGTTCTTTATAATAATACGTGTAGGAATATTTGACTTTTAATTTAGAAGGAAGATGTTGGAAGAACGAAATTATCTTAACTTTTATTTTTTTTTAACTTTATTTAGGAGAGGATAGAATGAACATAATTGCCAGGTTTCTTAAAATACCTCATAGGTCTCATGTAAATCAATCTGCAAGCGTATTATATTATTCGTTTCCCTTTGTTTTTTGTGTCTTGGTCCTGTAAAACAGTCCAAAGTTGTCGTTGTTGAAAAAAAAAGTCACAGTTGGCGAGATTCCGGACCGAAAAAACCACTGCCGCCCCCATGACTTCCCTTTCACCCCCGTTCTGTCACGCATTGAACTAAAGATTGAGGTCACCAAAAAAAATAATAAAGAGCAAGAAGATTTTCAGTGGGAATGTGGAAGGAAATGCGTGGCAAGTAGGCGCGTGGCGCCTCAGTTTCAGTATCAGTTTTATTCCTCTTTCCCCCTTCATAGCACCCGCCCCTGAAACGCCTCTGATAGTCCCGAAAACCCCCCAAAAATCCCCCTGAACCCCTCGATTGGCCTTGCCTTGCCGGCGGGCAAAAGTTACAATAACTTTTGCCACAGTTTAAGTTGCCGCCGCCGTGCCATTTCGTATCTTTTTTATCTTTTCTTTGCCTTTTTTTTTGCGTATTCGGCTCTTCTTCTTTTTGGTTGAGGGGGCGGCACGAGGGGGAGTGTCAGTGTCATTGCTACTCGAATGCATTTTAATTCGATTGAGTATCTCACGCCGTTTTCGAGCCGACTTTTTCCGGTTGGAAATTCTTGCCAGTGGATAGCAAAGAGAATTTTGATTAGCTTAAAATTAAAAAATCATTTAACAAGAGCATTAACCCCAAATTATATAAAGGAACAAATCATGAATTATGAATTTGGAATTGTAATATATAAAAAAGCAGTTTTATCTTTTTTTTTTTGTTATTTTACAAATCGTCATTAAATTTGGATTAATATAAATATGTATATTACTTTTGTCTAAAACTATTCAAACTTTACAAAAATAGCTACAATAACGATGAAATATTCTTAAGACAGGGGTACCAAATAGTTTATCAACACCCAAAAACCCAGTTGTATTAACACTTAATTTTTTTTCGCAATGACTACGATATTCTGCCAAGACTAGCAAAAGTTTGATCTTCTTTTTTCGGTTGGCGCATTCAACTTTATTTAGTAGTTTGTTTTCTTTTTATAGAACAAAAGAAATTTGAACTTGAGGCAAGTTTGCAACGGTTGAACCAAGAAAGGTTTAGCCCGGGGTCATGGTTCAGAGGATGAAAAGGCTTTTGGTGGAGAAAAAAGGAATGAAAGGCCTTTAAGGCCTTTTTAAGGGCCAGCAAAGAGATGTATCCTCTTGTCATCTATAAGTCTAGGCTTGCGGTTGTTCGCCATGACTCAGAAAGTTGTTAGTTTTGCATGAAATTAAAATTCTGGACTGGCCCAGAACGAGATTGGCCACATAAAAGTGTTCATTTCAACATTTTCTTAAATAAAAAAAATATAAATATTCATATGCGCGTGAATCACTTGGTAAACCAGATTGGCTGTCAAAATAATTTTCAAGCCTACTCAAATCATTTGACTATTATTATAAATTCTTTTTTTATTGTGTATAATATTTGGCATTTTAAGCTATTCATTTTCTTGGAATTAATGTTGTTTCGCTCAACGAAACATATGTCATAATACTTTAAGTACCAAGTTTTATTTGGACTTACAATTACCATAAGCTAGTATTCCCATTATCTTGATTGTATTGCGAAATTTAATTATGAATTTTGTACAATATTTCCTGATACGCAAACTGCAATATTGCTTAGCAAATTGCCTGTCTATTATTGTTTACATTTCGGAATTTGCAAGAGCCATCCCACTCACTCCTGCGATCTTTTTGCAGCATAACTTTGGTAACTTTGGCGCATCTGTTGGATGCAGGGCACAGAGTCCAGCTTCTTGAGACCAGGTGGAAAAACAAAGGTAGCAGCGGCAGGCCGGAGTAATTGAAAGGCAACAGCGGCGGGCAGGGAAGAACAACAACTGGAGAGCGTAAAACATAAACAGACAGGTAAGTGAAGCCACCTGTTGTCAACTGAGACCTCCGCCTCACCCACTTGGCCACTATCCACTATCCACTAGCCACTATCCACTAGCCAAGCCTCCTCTGACTCATCCGCAACTGTATCTTTCGGCTCGTGTGTATCTTGTAGCTCGTCTACTGTGTCAAAAGTGAGCGCAAAACTTTGCGCTTTCGACTTGTAGATACTTTGCACCAACCAACCAACCAGCCACCTTATCCACAATCCCCCCCTCTAGCTACCTTCAACCCCCCACCCCCTACGGTTACTTCCGTTGCTTTTGTTTGGCTTTCGTGCAAGTTTGCTATCTTTAAGATACTTTCTTCGTATTTCGGGTATTGTTCTTTGGCCAGCTTCGGCTTCAGTTTCAGTTTTCCCCTAAATACATTTCGCTGCCTGCAATTTTCCAAACAACAAACCAAAAGCAGCAGCAACAACAAGAATAACAACAACAGCAACACAAGAACATTGGCAGCTGGAAACTCTTTGAAAATCTCCTTCGTTCGAATTTTAGTTTTCCCCGTCTCGTTCGGATTTTCATTTTGGGTCTTCTTTTTCCCTGTATACACTCGATCGACAAATATTTGCTGCCACAATTAGCGCTCACCTGTGATTATTGGTGTTTGTCTAGTTAGAGGAAAATTCCAATAATTTGGAGTTTACAATAATTTGCTTGACGCCAGAGGTGTTGAAGTTTTTGTGAAGAATGCATTTTCTCAATATATTTGATGGAAGATTTTAAAATGTATAGATTTCAAAAGCTGAAAGGTTTTTCAATCAGTTTTATAAGTTTTTAAAAATAAATATAAATAAATATTAATGGATATGAACAAAGTGCTGCAAAAACCTCTTGAATATGGACTAATCATACATTTTTCAATGTATGTATGTTATACCCACATTTGTTCTGCCTGAGCAAACTTTGTTCTTGACTTTGAAAGACTCCCAAAAAAAGGGATCGAAATTCCAAATGGTCTAAAATCAGAAATTACCGATAAGAAGAGGAGAGCAGAGCAAACTTCACTTAAGTCGAGAAGAACTTATCGCTTTTTTTTCTCACTTAAGCCCCGCTCACCTGTCCCCCCACTCCGCCCCCTCCATGGACTTCTCGCACTTTACCCGTCGAACCATTCAAATTTAAATCAATTTGATTCTGATTAGCCACACACGCAGTTTTTTCCCTCGTCTCTGAACCTTTTCTTCCTTCTCCTTTGCTCTTTCATTTTGTCGCCATGGTTTTTCGGAGTATGTTCCTCAGTCGTTTTCTTTGGGCCTCGGTTGTTGTTGTTGTTGTTCTTTGTACCTACAACTAGTAAATAAATTAGTTTTTATTATTGAGAAAACAGGTTTCCACTTTAAACCGAGTCAGAGCGAGAGGGAGCGATAGGGCGGAGGGAGTGGGAGGGGGACGCCGCGGAATGCTGACTCTTGGGCACGCAGGTTCAAAAACAGAAAAAAAAACACGAGACTGTTACATGCAGAGAAAATTCAGGGACATTTTTAAAGGAATATAAAAACTTATAAAATATATTAGGAAAAATAAAAGGGAAAACGTAATTGATATAAAAAATTAGCAACTAATTGAAATATACTAAATTACAACAATAAAATAAAGGTCCATATTTATATAATATCATCTAAAAAGGAACTTTAATTTTCTTGCTGTGTACGGAAAAAGAATTCTTCACAGTTCGCTGACGGAACCTGTTTAAACAGAAAGAGAGGGGGAGCATATGGGTAGGTAGAAAGAGATGGCAGGAAGGGCTCTGAGAGTCTTCTGGCTTTCGTTCGCTCGATTTCTTAACACTTTCGTGATTTGAATTTTTTCTCTCCTTTTTTCGAATCAATTAAATCAATGGAATATGCAGAGACCTCACTCCCCCTCCCCATTCTCCGCTCACCAAACACCAACAGGCCAACAAACACTCCACACAAACAAATTATGAACAAATAGCGGCAAAGAAGTACCAGAAGTACCAGAGTGTATGGGCGATATGGCAGTAGTAGTATCCCAAGGAGTTGGCGAAGCGGTGAAATATTATTATTCAATGCCATCGATGCGCTCTGTTTGCCATCCACTTTAATTTTCGTCGTCTTTTTTTTTTTTGTTTTATTTTTCCTGCCTCTCTGCGCCTTTATTGTTGTTTCGACTGTTTATGCGCCGTGTCTAATGACAGTTTTGTGGTCATTATTTGAAATATATATACGAAAATATATGTGCTCCCAGATAGATGGGTGTGCGTATTTATGCGTTGGATAGCGCCCTAGAAAGCCGACACAAACAAGCTGAATTTTCGCAATTAAATGTTGGCCATAAATTAAATGTTTGTTGTCCACCATAAAAACAAAGAAATCAAAGAATTGGAATAGAGATACAACTAAGGGAACTAAATACGAATACAAAATACTCTGGAGAGGTGAAAAATAGGATGCCATAGAAAACAAAGTCATGAACCTTAATTGTAAAGGGTTTTTTGCATTCATATTTGTATACATCAGACTAAAGGATTTATTGAGAATAAAATGTAAAGTACATCAGCAGTTGTAGGTTTAAAATCATTAGGGTCTTTAATTTTCAAGATACAACAAACATATTTATAAGAAAACCTTAAACTACCAACTGGTTGACCCTTTAATCATACCCTGTTTAAAAAATAGCCAAGTTAGATTCGATTGAATTCGCTTTGATGCGATAATAGGCATCACACTATATAATCATCAGCATACGATTGTTTACACAGACGCACACACAACGCCAAGTACGGACTTATATGGGCAATGGTTATGGGCTATATAAATGATGATGCTGCTCATTTCTTGTTCGATATTGCCCCGGATTTATTGTTGTTGTTGTTGTTGTTGTGTGTGGGCCGCTTTTTTTGTTGTTGTTGGTGTGGCTGCTTTTGTTGTTGAAATGCCGCCTCTGATAAATGAGTTTTGGCTTTTTTGTTGAAACGACGTGGGAAAATAATGCATTGATTTACATGGCAACACAAGCTGACCAACACACAGCTGCGAAACAATGGGCACCTTGAGACCCCGTCTAGCCATTCTGGATTCGGAAAGAGTCTCGGGATCGGGATTGGATTGTGGCCTCAACTTCCATGGATCAAGTGGGAAGTTTTCTTGAAAATCGCCATGAAAAAAAAGTGTATTTCAGGGGAAAAAACCACAATTTGCCAATGGAGACTTTTGTGTGGGTGCAAGTAAAAAATAATAAAAGCCAAACTAGTTGCAAAGGTCAAAAGATTGTGTTTTTTTTTTGCAGCATTAAAATCATTTTATGTTGGATTATTTTCCGTCTGTTTTTCATCTATTTTCTGCAAGCCCTTAATTTAGTAATATAAATAATCTGTGTATATCATTTTGCTTAGTTTTATTTCCGAAACTAGCCATGAGAATGTATTTTTTAGCTGCTTCAAAGTAACATTAATTCACTGTGAAAAACAGCCACTCATTTTCAACTTAATCCCCGCACCAATCTCGATTCCCAATTACTTGACCATTTATTTTACTGCATCCTCCCACTTTTCCTCCTCCTTTCCTCCAATGCACACTTACTTGGAACAGCTGTTAAACTATTCAAAAGTAATCGCTCCACTTCTGGTCCCCACTCACACTTGCCCATTTCTCCCACACCTTGTGTCCCTCTTTCTCCCATTTCTCCTCCTTTCTCTGATTCACTTGTTTGGCTACTTTCTTAACAAAAAATAAGTAAAGAAGAAGCTGGAACTAGAGTGAAAACATCACTGAAGAAAAACCTATACTGGTTTTCTATTTTTATACGTGTTTTTGAAAAAAACGATTATCAATCTTAGATATAATTATTGTTTACCTTTTTAATTATATATTGGATAGGGTAGGGAAATGGATAGGGTCATTTGACTATATCTAGCTTTGATTAGAAGATATAAGTAAGGGTTTGGTGATTTCATTATCATCTTATCCCTTTATATTTTAGTGGACAGATGTATTTTCAATTATTTTTCTTCTTATCTATTATATTTTCATAATGCTGTGCTCCCTTTTCTTTTTGAGTGTCCTACTTACAAATCGAACAGCAAATCATGCCCATCATTTGCAGAACCTAAAGATCTGCTTGTCCATTAGTTGGAAAATGCCAGAAGAGTTTGCATAACAAAATAAAGGCCAGAAATGTGTGTGGTGTGGTGGGGAAATGGGGAAAACAGGTAAAAATTTGGGGGAGTGGGGGAAGGAAAAGCCAATGTTAATGGAGCGAGCCTTTGTACAAAACTGTCGGACTGCTGATATCTGAACTGGCAATAAGCGCCTTTCCATTCATAATTCGATAGACGTTTGGCCACTGCCAACCGCCCACGGTGAGCCTCGACCACGCCTCCACCCACATTTTCCATTTCCCACCGCCTCCCTTCCTCTTCTTGCCCTTCAACAAAACGGATTCCAAAACTGTGTGTAAAAAGTATTTTCAACTTTTGGCCACATGCTTCATTTATCACAAATTCATTTATCATTTGTCCCCTCACACACACAAAGATACAAAATGTGAATGTATTGCTTCCTAGCTCCCCACCCCCCCGCTTCCTATTTTTTTTCGGTTGAATATATGTCGCTGGCAGTGCAAGTCGCCTTCGAACCCAAAAACTAAGCTTGGCCAAATATAAAGCGAGAGATATGGCAACGGAGGAGGGCGGCGGGGTGGGGGAAAGCGGACGAAGAAAAATGATAAAGCAACAGCCAGGAACGAGGGGCGGTGGATTCGGGGGGCGTGGCGGTGCGGTTCATTTTCCCAAGGCGGGGGCGGCGAGCGAAAATTCGCATAGCTCGATAAAAATTGTGAGGCGAAAAAAAAGAGGCAAAGCCCAAAAACTGCCAAAAGTAAAATGATATAAAAGAAAGAACAAATTTCGTATATGGTATCTGAAATGAAAATACCCTGTTATTAGGAAGTACATTTATTGTGATCGTTGGAAATTAATAATTTTGTTGTGCAACATTTTAAGACAATTTA